GCTCCGGCCTCCATGATGAGGGTCTGTGGCCAGCCCATAGGCACCGCCATGGCTGGTGTGGGAAATGTGCACACAGTTTCCACTGAGAAAGTTTTGACCTGCTTTAAGAGCCATTGCTATGGAAACCTAATGAGAAGATAATTGAATCACACATCTTTGCTTTCTGTCTCTTTCTCACACTGGTGCCAGCAAGGTCAGTACCTTATAGGCCTGCTTTCTCTTCAGGTTCATGCAAATTCAATAAAAATACCAAAGGCCCATTTTCTTCTCTCTGCCAGCTCTGGTTAGATAAATTATCTTGTATTCAGTCAGGAGCAGTTATAAACCTGTCCAGTTTTCATAGTAATGATGTGACTGGGCCATTTCCAATACACATAGATAACCAAATGGCATTGAGACAGAGCCAGTGCGAGCTTTTGCATCAGTCTGTTCACTGCTATGAACGTGAATATTAATAGATTGAAAATCTCAACTAAAGCATTTTCTTCAGTGGTCTATAAATTGTCATTGGGAAGAAAGAAGGGGGCTGGTATCAGTTTATTGAAGTTGGTAACAGTAGTGGCTTCATTGTCAGATGGTGCTGTGCACCTGTGGATTTTGTGTGCCAAAAATGAGATGTGGCCACGTGTTAAGGCACATCTGCATCGAACACACTTAGTGGTGAAACAAAAACCCATCCACAGTTCTGTCATTCTCAGTCCCAGTGTTTATTCTGCTTGGAGAATGATGAGCTTTCAGAACTCCTCGGGTGCATTTGTAAAGGCAGCACGTGGTGTCATTGGTTTCTTTTTCCCGTTCTGTGGTGTACCAGCATATCACATCTCGGGGCATGTGTGACTGCTTCTTGTATAATCAGCCACTCTGCATGCGAGGTAAGCTGTAGGGTTTCTCTGGCTGGGTCAGAATCAGCCCAGAGTTCTTGGAGAAAGGTGTAGCCTGGAAGCTGAACACAGCCCAATTAAAAGCCTCCTTTATAGCCAGATACAGTCACAATGGGCTTGCAACAGAGATCTTTGCATAGTTCTTCCTTGTACTCCAGTGTTTGGAGCACACCTCCAGGATTTCAGAGGGAGAGATTGCTTTAGTATAGCAAGGTCATCTCAGCTGCAACATTTTAATGGAAAGATGAAATCAAAGACCATTTTGTGTGCCTGACAGCTTTGCCGTTGTTCATACAAAAGCAGTGATCCCTCAGGCTGGAAAAAAGGAACTAGAAGTGCCCTCCAGAGGCAGTCCTCATGTCCAGCTCATCCTGATCAGAGACATTTGGTCTGGTTTGCATCTTTCAGGAACTTCTTAAAGGCAGTTAGTTTTTACAGCTTCCCTCCCATTCTCTACCTACTGTTGGAAATTTGTCCAAATAGTTAGGAAATGCTAACTCTTCATTTCTTTCCAGCTTATGTCTGCTTGCTCCTGTGCCTGTTTTATTAATAGGCGATAAATTAATCTTGCAGCTTTCGATTTTACTGAACAGGCAGAATTTTTCTTTGGTTAAGACAAAGTGTTCAGCTCCTTGACTATTCTAAGAGCTTTTCCCTTTAACTCTTCTGATGTGTTCAGAAAAACAAATACATGAGTAACTACAGTCATACAGGCTATTCCTATACGTGTTTATATTGCCATTGGAATTTACCATCTTTCTGCCTTTTAGGATTAAAGTGTAGGGTTTTATTCCTGTCATCTTCTTCAGCTGGTATCTCCAGGTACTCTGTCATTTGCAGTTAGCAAACCTCCAGCATTTGAAATACTGGCTTTTCTGACAGTCTTTTTCATGTATTTACACATTTCGGCATTGAATTCCAATTCATTTCCACTAAGCCAATCTTTCTAATCATCTGGCTTCTGAGCCCGGGTTATCCACTGCTGCTTTTGCTACCAGATTTTGAGAGTGTTCTGTGGTAATTTACTCAACTCCATGGAAATCCATCATCTCTCTGAGACAGTAGTGCACTAGTATCTTGTTATTCCCCAAAGCAGTTCAATTTTTAGATACTCTATTGTGCTGCTTTTTTTGTTTGTTTGTTTGTTTTAGCAGTGTGGCTACAAGAGGCCCTAAATAAAGGCCTAAAAGATAGTTTTGAATTTGTGAGATTAATGGATTGTATTTTTGACCCATTCTGAAGCTCATTTCCAGAGATTCTGGGCAGATACAAAAGTACTCCTTCCCTCTGGTCATAAATCTTTTGTCTTCCTTTCTGTCTGCATGTTGCCCATACATTTCCCCTGCTATATGCTGTGACAGAGTACATTTCATGTGAAAGTTTGCTAATGAAGTTGTACATCAGACCACAACAAAAATGAAGGCCTCCACGGTGGAGTAATGGCATTTGGCTTCTTTTCAGGCATGCAGTGCTGAAACTTCTGCCAAGTGTCACTGCATCATTAACTTTCAGCACAAGTTATCAGTCTATGAATGGAAGAACACAAATCACTTTCGGCGCACGTTCACAGAGGAGCTGCGGATTTAACAGAGTAAGGGAGTGTAATTGACAAATCAAACATAAGGCAACTCAGAGGCACTATGGAATTTTTCACTAGACATCTAGGAAGTAAAGCATTTGATTGATTTCACTGAGATTCTTAAGCGTCAGAGTTGTCTGATAGAAGTAAAAAGCAAATGCTTTGTCAGGCTCTATGTAGTAGATTTTGTTGGCGTTTCCATCCCTTAAGACTAGCTGTTAGCATTTTCAAGGTCAGCTCAGACATGGAATATTTCCTCTTTAAGGAATGCATGAAATGATAACTAGGCTTTGCATCCTCTGTTGAAATGCAGTATACAACCTAAATCAGATGTAAAAGAGAAGGTAGACAGCTTGCTATGGATCCTGCTCATCACCTCACTCTCTCTAGCTCAGGTGCATCACGAGTTTGTTCCTATTGCTGTCCGCCTTCTTTTGAAGCCTGCATGGAACAAGTTGGTGGCATTGGACTAATTTCCAGGGACCAGTTGTTTACATCACAAACATTGCCACTACACCTGCTGCTTATTAGCACTCTTGTTGGCAATTGTGGAAGAGAAGAAATGAAATGTATTTAGAAGCTGAAGAGATGAAGATACTGCCTCTGTGCTTTGAGGCTGATGTCACTAGGGAGACTAAGTTCTGACAGCAAAGAAATTTCATTTTCTAGGGATGGTGATTTGGTGCAATTTGTGGATACCAAATTCATTTATGATAAATAATGTAGCTGTTTATTTGAAGGGTGAAATTTGTGCTCAGGTACAAAATGTGTGCTCAATTAATTCTGTCATTTCCAATAGTAGTTGACTTTCTTTTTACTTTGCCGTACCCTTATATAAAGTCCATATACTTTTAATCTGGTTTTTCTTTATTTAGAAATGTATCAATAGCAACTTTACCTTTAAATTTCATAATGTTATTTTGGCCCTGTGGAAGTTTTGTTAATTTTGATGCTGAATATTTTCCTAGAAAGTATGGGATGGTATACACCTGTATCATTAACTGTTCCTCTTCAAGGGTTAACTTCAGTATCAAGGAAGACACTAAATGTCTCCTTCTACCTGATACACTCCAAATCTGAAGTTTGGCTGTTTCAACTGATTTGCAGTTTGTGCTGGATTGAACTTGTAATTAGTCCAAGGCTGAAAGAGGTTAGATTTCAGAGCTTTGCTGTGCCAAACCGTCTTTGCCCAGATGAATTTCTAAATCAAACTTAAACTTCATTCTGTCTCATTTCCCCTCTAATGATGTCTTTTCAAATTGATGAGTGTGTTTTTCATGCTTACAAAACGTTGGCCAGTAATTGCCTACATCTTTTAAACTCTCAACCGGTTTAAACTGAAATTTTCCTTCAAGAGATTTATTCAATTTATCAAAAACTCTTCGTTGCCCTCTTCTGGGAGTCTAGGAGAATGCAAGGAGCCTGTCAAACAATGGACAGCAACTAGCTGTCCATATGACATGTATGTGTTACATGGCCTCACTTACGGAGTGATTTGGCTTGAGGTGTTCTTGGCATGCTGGGATGTATGTGTTTTTATTTTACATGGACACAACACAGGCATGGCACAATAGGGCATTCTCTTGTCTCAGGGGAGCAGAGCTCTTGGCAAAAACAGTGCCAGAATGCTTTGCAGTTGGAGCCTCAAGCAAAGTCATTGAAGCTGGCAAGAGTCATTTCACTAGCTTGGCTCAGCTTGGATAGAGGTCCCCATAGGAAGGCTTCAAAGAATTTCTCGAGATTTGGTAATTTCTATTAGCTCCATTTACATAGGCAAAACAAAAAAACAAACACAAAAGCGTGAAGAGGGAGTGATGTCTCATCAGAGAACCAGCAGTGAACCATTGGTTCTGAGTTGGAATCCAATATGGAAAACTGGTTCATTGAGCGTGAAGAGTGAGAACAAAAGACTGATGTGTACTATTTTACCAGGTTGTTTGTAAAGCCTACATTCTGTTAAAACAAGTTTCTCTAACTAGCTTTTGAGTAGGGGGGCATAATTTGGTGGAAAAGTACACAGTTAGTTTCCTATCTTGATAGGACGAATTTTCCTCACCCAGTTAAATTGCTACTCTTGTCCTCCTCACGTTCGCTTTCTGAAATTTAGTGAACACATGTTTATGAAACGTTTTCAATTGAAAGATGAATAAGCCAAAAGCTGTTATAAACCTAAACAAATAGAGCATCCCAGTGCCACAGTTTTAAGGAAATCAATGAAATGTAAGGTACGGAAGTATACGAAAATAATTTTTTTGAGAGATTCCTCGATGCTTTTGGCTTATCTGCAGGTTTCTGTCAGTATTGTATTCCTCTGTTCGGATCATGGAAGGTTTGTTTCTGGGCGTTCAAAGGGGAACTCGGTTACTGTGGTCAGACCAGCGAGTTTAGCTTTTGTCTGCAACTTGCTGCATTTGGAAAAAAGGGGAAGAGAAAATAGCCCATGATGTATTGTTTGGAAACTATAATTTACTGTAATCAGACAGTTCCCATGAAATTTGAGAAGTCTGCATCAATAAGTCCATTTCTCTTTTGTGTTCTAGGCTCTCCATTCATAAATCAAGTTCGGAAGAAGGCTCTGTAGGTCAGTATATTTCATTTTATCTGATACTTCAATTGAATTCTTAAGTAGGTTTTCAGTTTTGCTTGCGTGAAGATGTGAAGAGCTGAGTAAACACAATGCCAGCAGAAGTCAGCAGCATTAAGGATGGGGGGGAGGGCAAGTCTAAGATGCTTTAAAAGTAGGATGCTGAAGGTCTCTGTGATTTCAGACACTGCTCAGTCAGCATAGCCTTCTGATAACTACACAGCTTTTTGGCTCATTATATTGTCTTCAGGGTGTTTAATATTAGCTCACTATTAGCTTATCTGTTTGTATTTCAAAAGTTACCACCACCACTGGTAAATAACTGGTTTTTTCTTACTCTTATGCATGTCATGCTGGAGTCTTATTCTTTGTTTCTGAAATATTTTGCATTCTTAAATAACAATTTGTTTTCTGTTCTTTCACTTTTTTTCTAATTTACCATAATTAGTTCAAGTTGCTACATAGACTTATCAGTTGAGCTGATGAAATTTAGATAGGTTGTTTTGTTTTGTTTTTTAATATATATATGCATATATTTTATTTATAAGGAAAATTGGAGCAGGGAAGTTGCTTTTTTTTTTCTTTTTTCAGGGTAATATCCTCACAGTCTGAGATAAAGCTGTGCCTCAGAGTTTCAAAAAACTCTGGAGCTGCAAGGACAAGATCCAAAATACCACAGTCATATACTGAAATTCAGTGGCACAAAATAAAGCGTTCATCTGAATTTTCAAAAACAGCAGAGGGATGAAGTAGTTCTGTATCAGTAGCATTTCTGCCAGATCAGGCACAGTGTGTTCTCTTGCAGATGGCATGAACCTTATAGCATGTGCCCTGATTGATTCAACAGAACACAGCTATATGCCCTCCCTTGTTCTGAATCTTCTTTATAGAATAAATAATTCACTTGTGGGTCATCGAGCGCTATGCAGATCCGATAATAACAGACGTGTATTCCCAGCCTTGTACAATCAAGGCATGGAGGGAGCAAGACTCAGTTGTACCTGATGATCTCAAGAAATTTCTCATGCCAACTAGCAGTACGTGCATGTGTGTTTTTATGTATGTGAAGTGTTTATTTTCTAAATAGATAAGCAAACACATATTAGAGAATTCATTATCTGTCTTGTGGCTTAGGCTGCATAGCTGGGGTTCAGCTGAAGCGAATAAACCAACAAAATGCTTCAAAAACACTTCCAAACTTGACATTATCAACAGACTGGAGACTATAACAGATATCGAAATGAATGTAAAATATTTTCTGTTTATAATTCAAAATATGTATGTTAGTGGCTTATCTCAGTCATCTGTAGCATTGGCAATTGTAGGAGAATATGTACATTTTTCTGAAATGGCTACGTCAGCATAGTTCTAGTATAGAATAAATAAAGAAAAATGGAAGATTTGAATTTTTTTATTCTTTTTTTTTTACTTAGAAAATATAACTTGAAAACTTCTGTAATGTTTAATAACTAATGTTTCTTTCTGAAATTCTTCTTCCCCTCCATTCTTTCCCCCTCCCTAATTTCCTTTTAGGGAAAGCAGACTGGAAAAAGAAAAATAAGTTTTTTTGGCAGAATTTCCGAAAGAACCAGAAAGGATTGATGAGGCAGACTTCAAAAGGTAAACCTTTTTAAAGGATTTTTGGACCAATCCGTATAGAATGTAACTATCCAACCTCACTAAAAGTTAAATCTCCTTTGCAGCAATGTAAGAGTCACAGATCTGTGGATCTGGAAGTTGGAACAGCTTCAGTCCTGATTGTCGGTGATGGTACATACACGGAATGATGCAATTAATGGATAGTTATGAATAACATAAAAATGAATGAGATGCTTTATCTTCTGACTCCATGACAGAGAAGCTTTTTTTTTGGCACTTGGCTACGTTGTCCTGTTTGCTTTGGGCTTTAATCCAGACTCTCATTTCAGGAAAAGACACTACAAGAAGGAGTAGTAAAAGTGCATCTGGTGAATAGTGAAAATGTAGGATTGATTCCACTTAAACTGTCAGATCTCTTTCTCTAGTTCTCCAAAAGATGCAGCTGTGCACTGCTTTAAGTATTTTCCTTCATAAATAAAATTTCTGTTTACCCATGTGTATCTGTTATATATATCTTTCTGCTGCAAACAGATGCTTCCCTACATTTCTGACTGTGTTCAAATGGATTGTGAAAAATGGTATGAACCTGCCTATGAGGTTGAAAAGGTCACATTTATACTCAGTGAAGTATAGACACTTGTTGGCTGTCAAAGCATATTCTGCCCGTGCTGACATGCGAAGCTTTAACCAGAAGATGAGGTCCTGGAGATTGGAGGTGAAACATGTCCAGCCCCCCATGCCAGCTCATAGCCACTTAGATAACTGGACGGGGGGTGCAAGTCTGCAGTCTGAGGCATGTCGCCAATCTGCAGCAGAGAGCTGATAAAGCCCAGCACATCATTCCTAGAAGAGCTTCCCACCCCTCTTTTAGCCGATCGCAATATTCCTCAGGGCTGAGTTCTGGACTTTGCTGCTGTAGGCACTTTCTTTTTTCATTCTTCAGAGTCAATAATTATGTGATATCTTCTGGCCAGCCAGATCCATGTGGTGACCAGATTTCAGAGGACTATGAAATCCAGTTCCAATGTACTCCACTTTCTGTGTGACCTCTTACACGTATTTGTTTTTTTGTTTTTAATCTCTGTGCCTTTTTCTGCAGGAGAAGATGTGGGGTATGTGGCCAGTGAGATCACGATGAGTGATGAGGAACGGATCCAGCTGATGATGATGGTTAAAGAGAAGATGATCACTATTGAGGAAGCACTAGCTAGGGTATGATAAGTACACATTTTATTTTTCCTGAAAAAACATATATTGATGTGAGATACACCAGTCTGGAGTTTCTGGTTCCTTATAAAACACAGAAGTGGGTAAAAACTGCCTGTTTGTCCTATCTCACTAGGTAGCATAAATTAGATAGTAATTCCCTTGTTAATGGGAAAAGGGAGATGCAGCATTGCAAAAAATAGGTGCCTAATGTATGGCAAATGAATCAAGTCCTAAAGCATTTACTTCTCTCCACTGGCAATAAAGGATGCCAGTCAAGGAAAAGCTCAAGTACAGACATTTTTATTGCAGCTGTCTAAAGCTAAGGGAGTTGAATGCCACCTGTACTAGCCCACATGATGCATGTTTGTAGATTTGTTTAAATACTGAAAAGAATTCTTCACGTTTTGCTGTGCTTGCCTTATTTTCTTCAGAATACATACATTTTTTGTTATTTCTCTGCTGCTAATGGCTGAAGGGCAGTTTGAGTGAATGCTTCCATTTTCAGCAATTAAAACTTTTTGAGATTGAAGTTTATTCTGTTTTTGTTTTAGGCAAAAAGAGGGTGTTTTGTTTTAGCCTTCAGGAAAACATAGTCAACCTTTTTTGGCATTTGACGTTAAAATAAAAGCAGATGTAATTTTTGATAATATATAGTGACTGGCACAAGTGTATCTTTACAAAATCTGAATTTTGATGAAATACAACTGTAAATTACTGTGGTTTTGCAGCAATAGTGCTGAGATTTTAATTATTCCAGAGTCAAAGGCCAATGCTAAAATTTCTACTCCCATCTTAACTTAATTCCCTTGTGCAGAATACCCAGATTGAGCACAGGGTATTCTGTATGGGCAGCTGAGGTTCATAAAACATTTGCTGGATTGCAAATTGTCACTCAAGTGAATTCTCTTCAATGACGCAGTATGTCTTTGAAATAGGTTATCATAGAAGATAAAGGTATGCCATTGTCTGAGGAAAATATTGCTTTGCTGGGAATCATATCGCCAAAAAAGAACCAAAAAACACCACAATTTTAAAATTACCAAGGAGTAACATTGGGATCTCTGCTGTTAAAAATTGTGTGGGAGGAGTGTTCCACCTGATCCTTACTATTCACTGTATGTACTGGTACTGTTTCCCTCTAGTGGTCTGAGCTGCTAGCAGCAATTTAATTTTTAAATCATCAGTTCCTCCAATAGGATTAGCTATATGTATTGAGACTTCAATTGGAAAATGGTAAAAATAGTCCCTAGTTATGAAATTATGAAAGATTGCTCCTGGTCTTCACTGTAGATCACTTTCTTTTTGAAGGAAATTGATAGCCTGTTGTGATGTAGTCTGTCCAGTTTAAACTGTGCTTCTGCCATGGGGATGTATAATTTATGTTTTGCCAATTGCAGTTCATCCAGATTGAGTATTTGCAGATCACTTCCTTTCAAAAAATAAATCTCATCATGAAAACTTCTGATTGTGAAATAAATGAGTTTATTTTAAACAAGTGAGGCAGGCAATGCAAAGGTTCTCATTTTTCCAGTTCCACAATGTTACTGGGAGAAAAATGAAAGGACATTAACTCTTGCTATTTTAATGAAGATTGATAGCTGCTTCGCACTGGAAAATGGGCTCCCTGTCTTTTCAAATTTCAGCTGAAGGAGTATGAGTCCCAGCACAGGCAATCAAGTACTGTAGATGCTACAGACTGGCCTGATGGTTCTTACTCAACATTTGATGGGTCTTCCAATTGTAATGTAAGTACCTGTCCTTACGATATAGCTCCCCTATATCATTTAATATTTGAAGTCTTTCATTTCAAGTATCCTGATTTACCTGGTGATTTTCTTAATGGCAAATTTATCATTTGATCTCAAGATGCTACATTCATTCTATTCACAGAAAATCTTTAACGGGGATTTTAAATCTTCAGGATCTGTTGTTATAGAACTGCAACTGAATTTTTATATAATTTCTCTTTTTCTAATGCTCAGAAAGGGGTCTTTTGGATTCTTTTCCTTTTTTCTTTTCCTTTTTTAGATTGTTTAGGGAAAATTGTTTCATTTTACTTCTCAGTTACTGTGAATCACCAGAGTTTCTCATTCCTTCCTATCCCTTACTGGTGTGTCTTAGCTGAGAGTCTGGCTAAGTCCTAGCTTCTTGCTGCTTTCAAATGGTTCTAGCTCTGCCTTTCCTAACTCTCAGCCCAGTGTGTGCAGCTTTAGCCAGATCCATAAGTAGAGAGACTCAGCTTTCCTGCCTTATTTTTACTTCTTAGCTGTGCAGCTTCTTTTGTTTTGTGGGCACCAGACAGTCTTTGTATCATGCCATACTGAATTAATTAATTTTTCCTTCTAAATATCTTCATTTTCACTGAGTAATTTATTCCACTTCATTTCTCTAATTGAAAGTTCACAAATAAATCTTACTGAAGAACACATTTGGCTGTCAAGCCCAAGCTCTTTATAACCCATATAATTGAATCATAGACTTTTGAGCCCATTGATTGATTTATTTATTTTATTGTCAATGGAATTTCCTGCTAACTGCAGCAGTTAGATTCTTCTCCCTAAATGGAAAGAGGAATGCTATATCATTTTATGAGATGTTTAAAATATTTTGTGGTGGAGAAAGATTTTCTTATTTGTATTTAAAAAAATAAAGAAAGCCCATCTCCAGTTAGATGGGAACAGAGGGAACTGGTGTTTGCTTTCTGCTCTGATCTGCTATTTCAGAAATGTGCAAAGAGCGAGGAAGGAAGGATCTTGATTCTCCTGCACTGGCTGTCTAGCCAGGTGAAAGCTGTCTTGTTATTTTCTTCATTGGTATTTATAGCCTGGGCTGTCTCCTCTTAAGGCCTTTGGCTGGGATACATAGAGTTTAAAAGCCATGAAACTCTCATTTACTTTGGTAAAATGTCAAAGGAATACTGAGTTTCTCTCTTAAATATTCTGATAATGGTTTATGTTTATGTTGAATTTACCAAAAGCTGTGTATACTTCTGAGGACCAAACATGACTCAGTATTTGCTCCCTAATGGGATGATTTGGCACCTTTTCTCTAAAATTATATTTTAAGCTGGTTTTACTCTTTGAGCCAAGATTTCTGTTGCATCTCTCCACTGTTCTGCTAGGATTTGAACCATCTTCCTGCTGACTTCTTTGAGGGATCTGTATTCCATTGCTCTAAATACGTCTGCCCAATCTGCTGATTTTCTTTTTCTTTGTTTTGTTTTTAATCCTGATTGCATTTAACAGAAGCTGTGAAACTGCTTGCTTTCACAATTCGTGTGCAGAAATGAAAGTTCACGTTAGAGCAAATATCAGCTTGGCTTCTTTCTTACTGGACCTAAAAGCAACTAGAGTTAGCTGGGGTAAAAGACTCTGGGCTGTAATTGGCATGCCAGAGGGAGGAAACCAAGCAAAGTATCAGATATATCTAGAGATAGGGCATATGATCACCAAGGCTGTTATGCCAACAGGCGTATCTATTAATGTGAAATGACCAGCTTTTGAAAGACTCAGAGATGCTTCCGTGTTCGAACCCTTCCTTTGCCGAATCGGTTGAATTTCAGTGCCATTTGTGTGATTTGTATTCTGTGAACTTGGAAACTGGGAAGTACCATACTCATTTTATAGAGGCCATGAAGGGAAGATGTTTTTCCATGTGTTAGAAACCTTCTGTTAGATAGCCCACTGCCTTCTAGCCTCAGAAAGTAATTTAAAATATGAGTCACTGAAATTGAAGTTTCTGGTTTGAATTAAAACTCCTTGGGCAATTAATCTTCTGATTCTGCTGGCATTTTTTCTGATCTCTGTTTTTTATGTCTCATGGCCAAGCTGTTACTAGGCAGTTTTTAGCAGAACATTGTGATCATACTTGGTCATTTTGTCAACATTTTGTGAACACAAATGATAAAAATGAATTGCAGGATACTTGCAGATTGGGGGAACGAGGAAAAACGTAATTTCTAGTTTAGTTGCTGTGCACTTGTTCAACAGCCTTGGGTATTTAAGAGAGATCAAAACTCTAGCATAATTGCTTTTCTTTTCTTTTTTTTTCCCCAATTCTTTCCAGGCAGTGAAACTTGCTGGTAGTTAGGAGGACTTGTGAGGATGGGTCATTATGTTTTTATGGTCTAGCTTTGCCATTAACAGCATTCCAAGAAGAAAGAAAAGGTAGTTACTAAGCACTTGGAGAATCTAGAAATTGGGACAGAACATCTGGTGATCTCTCTCTGTATACTTTCAAGTCAGGCCTGCCCACAGCATAAGAGCAACCACCTGTGAGATAGCATCTAGTGGGCAAATATAATTGTTGTTTTTAATTGTTTAAAAAAAAAAAAAATTAGCTTGTATAACCTTCATGTGTTTATGACTAATATGGCTGGCATTGATACTGAGCTGACTTTTAGGATTTAAAGATTCTTTTTCTTGCCCCCTCCTCTTTAAATTACTGGGGAAAGGAAATTTCTATTTCATATCCTTTTAAAATTAAATCCTAAAGATGAGCAAAGGATTGAAGGATCATCTCAGCATCCACAGGGAAGCAGCCTTATGTCATTTCTGTGCTACTAATTCATAGTTCTGTTTGTTTTTTTCATAAGAAACAAACAAACAGAAGCTTTGCCAAGCCAGTAGTTGACTTGATTCACTGCCACTTTAGAGCAGTTGGTAGCTTTCAACCTCTCTACTACAATTCCTTTGCTTTGCAACAAAGTCATGTGTATTATTAGTTTACTAATGTGGAAATGCAGTTGAAACTGTTTTTCTTCTTAGTCAGATGTCTGAAGTCTGGAACACCTAATCATTTTTAACAAATTGATTTTTGCATTTTTATTTTCATCTCTGTTGAAATGAAAGCTGCTCACAGTAGCCATGGACAAGACTACCTTGCCTTTTGCTAGGTGTTGTCATGTAAAGCAGGTTTAGATTCCAAATTAATCTCATTCTGGATTTTAGATAAGGCCCTATTTATCCACAGAAGTAAGAAAGTCAAGGGAAAGAGGTTTTGAAAATTATCACTTTCTTTCCATTTACTGAGGTGCCTTTTATGCTTCTTAAAGATATGAGCACAGTTGATGACCTTTGGACCCTGAAACTCTTGTCCATCTAGAGCAGAAGCCTGGTAGAGCTGCTGTATCTCCAGAGCTCTGCTTGAAGCATGAAGCAGTGTTAGGAGAAACCCGTATAAATCCTTTCTGTGCGCTCTGCTGAAAGACTGTTAATTGGTACCAGTCATCATACTTACTGCGAGAGTGGGGGAAGCAGAGAGGAGGATTGTGACAGAAGTGTGTGCATCATACATATGCTGTTGCTGAAACAAACCACTAATTAACTTTGCTGACAGCTTCTGTGGATGTGAGTTAATAAAGTTGTAATTATCCCTGGACTGAAGTGTTTTGTTGGTCTCACTGGTCTTTTGTGCTGCAGTTTTGATCATCAAATAATGATCAGCGCTCATTAGTGCAGGCGTCCAGGTAACGTAACATGGGCTTCATTTGAGAAGTGCCACAGTGAGAGCCTCTGAACCCTAATCCCTGCTACGTACTACCATGTCAACCTCAGAAGGGAGACATTAAAATTTAAAAAAGAAATGATAACAGGCTTCCCCTAACAGTACAGCCTACAGGTGAAAGAGAGGAAGGGAGTAGTGCTCTTCCACCTGTCCTCTAAAAACCTCTTCACCCAGAACTGTTAGCACGGCACCCCTACCATTAGGAAATTTGCACCCTATTTGTTTTCTCTGAAGTCAGTGACAGCAGTTCTGCTAAGCAGGAGACCAGACATGCAGGTCTCCTACAGTGAGGCCATTGCTCAGGAAAATTTCCAATGACATTTTTGCTCTTTCCCATCTGCTATTGATCCATCTGGAAGTAGAAAGCAGCAAATCAAGTCCACACAGAGATAGGTCTAGCTAAACCAAAATGGTCTTCTGTTGTTCCCGTTGTTTGTGTTATCTCCTGAGGACGTTTTTATTTGCTACGTCATTAAATGGGGCTGAAAGAGTATTCAGTGTTGGTTTTGTATCTACTACCATTGTGAAAAGCAGAATAATGGACAAGAATGGTGTTTGGGTCTTATTCATTTGGGTTGGCGACATGCTGTAGCTATTGAATCGGGATTGTACTACCTATGCACCTACTTAATTTGTGGCACAAAACTAACTCAAATAAAAGACCGAGTCTGACACAGTTACCTCTGAATCACAAGCTATTGCTGTATTGTTTGGTAAGTGCAAGAGTAGGAAGAAAAGAAATAATTGCAATGTAACTTTTATAGCACCAGTTGCCACAGAGTAAATCTAGGTACAACTACAGCAAATCCTTATTATTCAGGGTTATGCTGTATTTCAGTGATTCAGATTGCTAATGTTTTGTAAAAAGAGCAATTTTTAAATTTTTTATTATTACTACTGATGGATTCTTGAACCATTTAACCATTTGTTAACATTATTATTGATAATTATATACAATTATATTACAATCAGTATGAGAAATTCCTTCGTTTTAGCTTTTTAGAGCTAAGGTAGAAGTCAGTGAATACTGAGAACCAGTTAGATATGAATGGAGACAGTAGGGTAGGATTTAGATTTTTTGTGTAATTTGAACTGTAGTGTTTAAACTGCAGCAACATTGATACTTTGGCATTTTGAAAGCTGTGCACTGTTAGGCCTGTTTTTGCTGTTATCAGAGGATTTACCAATTTTCATAAGTCAATTTGTTCCTTGAAAGGCTTCAGGATGGAAGAGGATGTTT